GCCGATAATATCGGTTTATCGGCCGATATTTTAAACAATGCATATACCATCAACTCAAACTGACATTGATGCCTGTTTAGCCTCATATGATGTCTCATTACTCTTGATATTTTGTGATATTTTTTACTCAGATCTAAAAGCTGCTATTTTCTAGTTAAAGATATTACACATTTCATAAATACATACAAAATAAGTTTCTAACCTAAGCATCCACTGTTAGATTTCCTAAACTTGTCCTTTGCCCTCTTACAGAACTGGAATTTGGTCCACATCCACTTGTTGTTTGGTCCTCCTGACGATGAAGTAATAAGTATTTCATATTTTCATGTCAATGGATAGAAAGTTTGGTGGATGGCTCACTTAAGTTGACATAAGTTTCTCTCTCTATCTATATATACACACACGTATATAGATAAACATAAGCACATTTAAGAGGCGTCCTCAGGCACTACCATAATCATAATCCTTGTGAATCCCTCTCTTTAAAGAAGAAAAAACAATTCTTAGCTCCTTTTTCTCAAAGAGGGGAAAAAAGAATGGAAAAAAAGGAAAAAAAAAAAAAAAACACATCTCTTAGCTCCAAAGAAGAATTCCATTCCTCTCGCCTTTACTCGACTCACTTTGTCCTTCTCAAAGTCAACAAATCTAGCATAAGTTTTTACTGTAGCAAATTAGAAATCTCAAGTGAAGGTCAACTTCTCTTTCGCCCAGTTTATATTTTCTCCCAATTATTACTCCTCCAACCATGCCATTCTACTTCCACTATTTTTCTTCACATGATCAGTCACCTTCCCACATAGTATGTTCCACTATATCATCCAATATTGCAACTAAGCAATTTCTCACGAATAATTTCTATACTTCGCAGAGAAAGAAAAGAGTATCATAACTATAGTCTAACTATATTTAAATATGCTATTCACCAACTTATCAAAGGTCAATAACTATTTAAATAACTCAAATAACTTCAATCTTCAATAAAAAGCAATTTCTTTATGCTTGATCAGAATGGGCCATCTTCCTCATGCAAATCATAAACTGAAAGATTCCACATTTATAATGAAGTCAAAGGATCAATAAATTTGTGGAAACTTCCAAGCAAGTAAACTCTTCTGATAAGAATATTTATTGAGGAAACAATAACAAAACCGTTACGTAGAAACTTCAGACAAAGAAGAAATAAGCAACATTCAGCTTTAGAATCCTGAAATTTAATATTTTGTGTATCACAACATAAGAACTATCATTCAGAGCATGTATGGTCAATCAAGTTCGACTAATTTCACTGCTTCACCTGATGAAAGAAAAATTAACAAACATTTATAATCATTTCCTCTGCCTTTTATTACTTTAGCATGCTTAGCGTAAATTTCAGTGTTAGTTTTCTTCATCTCAGGTATTGTGATTCTTCCTTCAATTCATCAGCCTTTTCTTTGTCACAAGTTCACATAATGTTTTCTATACTTATCTCTCTCTTTGCTTTTAGAAGACGTACTTTTGCCTGGTGTATATCTTGTTTATACTTGAGTTATGCCTGAAATCTGTTGTGTAAACATAAGAGAGAGCATTCAGCTTTTAGTAAACAAAGCAACCAAGAAGGATCAAATTAGATAATGGCCAGTGGGAAACAGGCTCTTTAACATACATTCTGTGTCCAACTAGGTAACTTTTGTGATTCAACTAATGATCAATGTTTATTAGATAGGCATAGACAAACTAATCAAGAGGAAACGAAATTTTTAAAGACTAAATATCGACAAGACTCCAAGAATAACATGGCTTCTCCAGTATCCAAAATCCAAATTCTCAGATGCACCCAAAAGCATGGTTAGCAATATTTATTGTAAGGTACCCATATAAAATAGTTGCACGTGAATGAACTTCAATATGCAACTGCTCTATGCTCACACCTTTGTAGCTATGTGCATGTGTGAGGAAGTACTAACTCATGTTCAATACTACTATATGATAGCCATAAAAACCAATAATACTTGGTAAATCGGACTTTTAGTAAGTTAAGAAACATGATTCTAAAAAAAGTGTAGAAATGAGTATCCATAAGAAATCAAAGGTTGCACCATTGAATGATAAAATGATCAAGAAGTGATTGAGATGGTTTAAACATATGCAATAAAGACCAATAAATGTGCCAGTTAGAACAAATAACAGGAAAAATACTTAATGAAGCAACAAGGAAATAAAATATATAATTGATGTTAATTATCTCAAATGGCTTTCAACGTTGAATAAAAGAAATGATTTACATAGTTGATCCCAAATGGTAAAGGCTATGTGATTGTTGTTGTTTTTGTCTTTATAACCACAAATCCTTATGACCTTTAAAATGTTAGATTAGCATGTCAAAATATCATGAAATTGGCTCCATGCACTAGGTTAACACTATTAGCAATCAGAAGTACGAGTCAGATAATGAAAATGTTGAATGTTAAAATTATCTGTTATGCACCCAACTGAACCCTGTTCCATACATATAATATTATATGAATTTACAGACATCCAATGCAGTAAAAATTAATCAATCATTCTGAAGAATACCGTGTGCAGTGATTGCAATAGCCCCATGCCTGAACAAGGCCAACTCCCCATCCACCACACCCCATGCACTTCTTCTTATAGCTTGGTTCATGATTACCAGTTATATTAAACTCATATCCAGTAGGCACGCAATCAGCATGTTGCGAAATAACCTGGTTTGTTGTACTTGGCAGCTCCCATTGTGATACATTTGTCTTTGTGTTGTAATAGTACTTCTGGCCTGATAACATAAAATGCACAAGTGACTTCGAACAATGGAAGCTCAATACAACATTACATGTATTAATATTTAAGGTAATTTAAGAAAATAAAGTGAAACTTATATGGCACTATTACTCATATGTGCACAATGCAGTGTTCAAGATGACAATTATGATTAATTTCTAGCAATCAATAGGCAGCTTAGACGCATAATATAATCAATAAATAAAACCTAGTAAACAAGTAACAACAAATACGCAACTCAAAAGAAGTTTCACTTAAAATTAGGAATACTTTTCTATATGACTCTTTAGTTTAAATTGTCAATGAAGAATGTGCTTACTGACAGGAAATCTTATCATGTACCTCACTTAAAATTAGGAATACTTTGCTATATGACTCTTTAGTTTAAATTGTCAATGAAGAATGTGTTTACTGACAGGAAATCTTATCATGTACCCCCTCCACAAGACCCTTTTCCAATTGAATTTGGAGGATTTTCCTTGACCACATTAGCTAAAACTGGAGGATTAAAAATGCTGGCTAACCTTAGTTCCAACTGACTTGCTATCAACTTTTTCACACCAGGGCCTTACTTGCTATTAGTTGTCTTGGCTAGGAGTTAGCCTAATAGAGGATTAGGCAGACTGGCAGCCAGTTTCTGGGTCTTTCTTGACTTTAATTCACGCTTCATTCTCTACTCATTTTGTTCAGCTGAGACTTAGTGATGACTACTTTTAGAAAAAGGATTTAGATGATGATTACGATGATGGTAGTGGCAAAACGATATCCATAATGAACCAACAGAAATTTTCCCTATCAACTGTCCCACACCTGAAACCAACATTATATCACAAGTTTGAAAGACCTTCAACTTCCATGCTCCCTTTGCAGCTGATTTTCTTTGTCAAGCAAGTAAGCAGAGTGTATATTGATCTACATTGACTCAGGCAGAATGAAGGTAAAGATTAGATGACCTAGTCAGATTTTTTTCTGCGCGCACTGTCTACTAAAGGCCACACAATAATTGGGATATATTGATGAGTCATTATATCTGAGAACAAACTATGAATGATAAAAGTATTGGGAGGGGAAAAAAGCTCAAAACTTGCCATGTCAACTAAGGGAATTAGCTACCTCACACGTTAATGATAACTCATTAGATGGCTCATTAGCTGCCAGGATGATACAGTAAGCTGAACGAGCAGGCTTAGAAGATAAGATCACTAAAGCCATCATCATGGAGAGAAAGAGTTTATAAGATGACAGCAAGTCCGTAAGAAAGCAAAGTTTTGAGTGCAACCCAAAGGGTCAAGTATTACAGGATATAAAGGTGGATAAGAAAATAAACTCATGGAAAGTGCACATTTTTATATCCAAAAAATAGAAGAAAGCAGCCAAATGCAGCCAAATACTTTAATAAATAAAACCTTATTGGTTGAGCTTTTCTTTCCTTATTGTTTGAGTTTATTACCTCATATAGGTAATAGTGCACTTCCCATTAATTTATCTCTAAAAAGGGTAGAAAGCAAGCAGAAGGGTGCCATTGTAAGAATTAGATACCCAAATGTAAAGCACCTAACTGTAAAAGTAAAAAATAACACTGGTTTGAAGACTCAATACTAGAAAGCATTAAGAATTATCAAATAAGACTTCATTGTTTTACTTGGTAAAGATACAACTCAATTGACCATAAGATAGCTGACGGGTATCCTTCTCTTAAGATAAAAATTCACAGTTTATACCGTGAGAGTATTTTTTTTTTTGTGCCAACTCCAATTAGTTTCTGCAGGGTACTTCGACTAAACCCCACATAAAGTGGTGTTAATTGTTAAAAGGAATAGATGAAAAGCACTCTAGTGCAAAAAAGGTGGATGAAGTTTCAATAAACCAAACTGACTTTGGGCAAGACACTTTCTCAAGGGATCCCATAACTACTTAAGAAAACTTCTACCTAGCGGATCACAATTATAATAATAATTAATATAGAAATTTGGGGGGAAATTTTGGCGTGTCATAAATGGCTCTTAATGGAATTATGGACTGTTAAAAAATTTAATGACAAAAGATGCATGCAAGTGCAGTATATATGCATGATTCAGAATTCTACCTATTACTACGAATACACTCATCAATATAGCCATATAGGAATCTCAGAATCACTAATCTAAGCATTATTTTGGACTATATGAAGTAAAAACTTTGAAAAATATAACTATATATATCGTTGATAAGGGAGAGTTAAAGAAGAAAAAGGCATGCTAAATGAGCCTCCAATTAGACAATAAAAATAGTTTACATTAATCTTAAGAAATTAATGAAAAAGTTACAGGTCAACAAGATGTGACAGTGCATATGCAGAAAATCACTGAAAATGGCATGATTCTCTTTTATTTTGTATAATCATTTTTATAAATACATCTTAACTCAAGATGAGATAGGACTATTAACAGTTTGGCATCCGAGGAATCTTCCTCGACATGTTTTACAATATTCAGATCTCATATGAGTAGTTTGAAGCAAAGAGGTGAGCAAAACCTGTGGAAATTTGTATCTTGCAAATGATGCGCTAATTCATTATCTCCTCTATTTATCATGCCTAAACTGCTGATTATA